GGTGTCGCTTGTGTTCTATTTCTTCAGTTTTAAATATATGACTCATTTTATGGTGTAAATTATACTGCAAAATGAATCTTACATTTAAGATCAGATAAGTATAACTGTGAACACTCAATTTTGTCCAGACCCACTAAATAATAAACAAAAATATTAAAAATAATAAAAAGGACCATAGACAAATTTTCCTTAATTCTTTCTTAGAGACCAAGTTTGAAAATCTCTCCAAAAAGAAAAATCAAGCAAAAATATCTTCTCCACTGTAAAGAGAAGATGTAGATAATTATTGATTGACCTTTAAATTGGGAAATATGGGGTGGACACATTAAGGAGAAAAATAAGAAAATAAAAATAAAAATATCTTATTTAAGATGATTGACTCTTCAAATTAGAAATATCTTTTGAAGTCATAATTATAAAAATTTAAAAAACGAAAATTAAAATAAAAAATCACAATTTGATGACTATTTGGTGCTTAAATAAGAATTAAAAAACAAAAATTAAAGAGAAATTGAAAAACCCTAGGTGAAACCTATAAATAGGAGAGTAAGGGTTAAAGAAAAATACTCAGAATTTTTTGGTGAAAAAGAAGGCAAGATAGAGAGCTCTTCTATTATTTTATATCATAACAATGACATGTGTTTAGAAAGGAGAGAGGAGACCTAATTAGAGGAAAATCTATTGTTCATCTTCTTCTTTCTTTTACCCAACAAAAGCCTATGTTTTTATAGTTATGATCACATTTGTGAGTTTAAATATTGACAGCTAGAAAGTTGAATCAAATATAATTTGAGTTAATCTATGTTGTTATTTTTGCATTTGATTCTCACTACTCCTCTTCCTTTCGATTTGTTTTGAAATATGCTATCATCTACTATCTCCTGTATATACTTACCTTGACAGTAACTTTCTTCTTTTTATTTTATTTTATTTTTGCTCATGTCATTTTGCTTAATATGCGTATTTAGTTTTTTTTTTGGGCTTATGACATAATGTCTTCTCTCTTTTTAGACAATTAATAAGTAGAGCATTAGGTATGGATTTCCGTTTCTATCTACTGTCTTTGAGTTGAATTTCATGATAAATTGATTTTGGGTGTTCTTTCTTTTTATTTTTGAAAACGCTTCCTTTTTTTAAAATATATACCGTATGAGGTTTTTAGAACCTCCGCATGTTTATATATTCATTAGTAAACCGTGTGAGACTATGAGAGTCTTAACAGGAATACCAATGTGATTGTGCACTTTTTCTTTTTAAAATAAAAGGGGAGAAAATAATTTTGGCACAATATCTATAAATAAATAATAAAATAAAAATGTCCTTTTGTTAAATATATATATACACATATATATAATTTCAAAAAAATTTTAGAGCCATGTGAGGTTTTTAGAACTTATGGATGCTCAAATAATTATTTGCCTGTGTGACATTTTGGGAACCTCCACAGGTAGGTAATCCAAAATTTCTTTCAAAAAATATTTTATAAATAAAAATATAAAAATTGTTTTCATATATTAAAAAAATCAACCCACAAAAAATATCTTTTGTAATCAAATAAATATTTTTATAAAAAAATACCAACTAAATGACGCGAATTTTTACCCCCGCACTACCTCAGGTTTGATTCTTCTAAATGATACGTAGGCTCTAAGCTTTTCTTCTAAGTTTTGTAAACAATTTATTATTTTTCTTTTGTAAATAAAAAGTTTCTTTTGTGTTTATTTTAATTTTTTTTTAGAGTAATTAAAATATAATAAAAGTGTCATATTAATTTTAAGTAGTTAATTGTGGGTACTCGTTTTCTTGTGTTGTGGAGTACCCAATATTTTCTCTACACATAATTGACTCTCGAATCCTATCTGGTTTTTAGAGATTATGTTTTTTTAGATTTTCAAAATTAATTTTTTCTTAAATTTTGATGGCGATTACCCCCCCCCCCCACCTTTAAATTGGAAGGCCGCGATTCGGACGCCATAATAATATTGCTTAGTTTTTTTGGGCCTGGATTTCATTTTGACGGTTTGTTTAGCTTTTGCTGATATTTCATCACTGTTTTGGGACTCTGTAGCCGAGTTTCTGCACTTTGCTGGTATAATGATACAGAGGAATACGTATTTCAGTTTATTTATATACTACCTCTGATCCTAATTATAATAGGTAGTTGACTAATTTAAGTGATTAAAAAAATAAGTTAAGTTGGTTATTTGTAATAAATAGGTGTTGTCTTTTATGAAATATCCTTACTAATTAAATGTGTTGGCTGAAACTATTATTATTAGAAGGATTACATTGGGAAAAAAATACATAAATGTGAAAGACAAAATAGATTGGGGTCTTATATCTAGGACCAAAATAAAATTCAAATGAGGTTTTATATTAAGAACCGGAGGAAATAAGTTAAGTTAGTTATTTGTAATAAATAAGTGTTGTCTTTTCTAAAATATCCTTACTAATCAAATGTGTCGGTTAAAACTACTATTATTAGAAGTATTACATTGGGAAAAAATACATAAATATGAAAGATAAAATGGATTGGGATTTTATATTTAGTATCAAAATAAAAGTCAAATAAGATTTTATATTAAGAATCAGAAGTAGTACATATTAGTCTGTCTCAGATGATATGGGTCCTTTCGATTTGAAATTAATCTGTCGGCTTGCTTTAATAAATTAAGATACATGTGTGTCTGTTAAGAGCGGCCAAAACGATCTCTTTTTTTTCCGAGAAATTCTTACATACACTGGGAGTGCCACATCATCCCAACTCTGTCCAATCAAAACACAGCAAGTCAGCTTCTCTTTATCCTGGCTGGCACCCTGACTTGGCAGATCACCAATTTATGAAAAACAAAATAAAAAAAAATTAAACTTTTTAAAACGAGTTATGGCCGGCGACCAAATTGAAACGAAAAAGGACACCTCCACCAAATTGAAACTGAAGCAGGGGATGTATTTCATTGCAGGGGAGCGAGGGATTTCATCGCAGGGGAGCGAAGGGATTTCATCGCAGGGGAGCTCGTCTCTAACCCCTTTGCCCTCTCTTCTACAACTTCCCCACAGTGGCGTCGACTCCCTTATGGCCGGCGACCAGATCTCTAACCCCTTTGCCCTCTCTTCTACAACTTCTCCACAGTGGCGTCGACTCCCTTATGGCCGGCGACCAGATACCTGAACAGAGCCATGAGAAGGAAACGCCTTTTATCCTTTCTCACAACCAAAGGCGCGCGACAGTGGTGGCGGTGATTCCCCTGTAGACAGCAACCAAATGCTCGATCGAAACCATGAGAACCGCAACCACTCTCATCCTTTCTCATGACCACAAGTTGTAAGTTTCATTTTCTCATCATCCTTTGGCGTCGCTTCCTCATCGACAACGCTGCAAAAATTTCAGTTTCAAGTTCGAATGATAGAAGAGGCAGCGATTTAAGGGCTAATCTGAAACTAGGCTTCTGAGTTTTATGTTTATTCATATTGTCTCCAATTCATGGGCCTATGCTTTGGGACGATTTTTTTGTGATATGTTCATTATTTCCAACTTTATATTTCAGTTGATAAACTTGAGCTTCAACATTTACTACAAGGTATTTTGGCTGCTTATCGTGACTGTGCTGATGAAACATAAGTGCATTTCCTTGAAAGAGAAATGGAATATTTCGTTTGCTGTTACTTAGCACAATAGTTATTCGGTCACTCTTTTTTGGCCAGAAGTTATTCAATCAATTTTAAGTACATATATATTTGAAATTTTCTGATATTATTTTGCCATATTTCTCAATCATACTGCATCAATCCTTAAAAATTTAAATTGGCTTCTTTTATATGGCTCTGTCTCAGAAATGTAGCTATCCTGGCAAGGTTGAGGGATGTGGCCTTTCGTTCAGATTTGTTTCTGATTGTAGCAGGCACAGGCGGAAAAGTGGGCACTTTGTAAAGTCACTTGACTGAGATAAAACATTCATTTGCCATCAGACTGCTTTTGTAACAATATGCACATACGTAGGTAGTCTCAGGATATCATGTCTGACCTTATATCTTCTGGTTAGGTGTAAAGTTATGGATAGAATAGTTGTTTTGTAGGTTATTGTAATCCAATGTATCTAAAGGGGGTGAAAGTGGAGTAGTTCAGAGAATTTTTCATCTTTCTGGGTTATTTGACAGCAGATTTGGTAGAAGTAGCAACTTCAAGTTCTCTGGGAGAGGAGAAATATCATATTGTTGGTGGGTCATGGGCTCTGCACTCTGGAGTAGCAAATTTGATTTGGCATATGAGGAGACACTGTTGTATTTTTATAAATGAAAATATTATGGCTTGTATCATATTTCCATGTAATTGCAATGAGAATAGACGTGTAATACATTCCTATTTTCCTCAATGCTACCACTCACCTTTTTTCCTCTCCTTAATTAATTTATTGCAATTCTTTTATGAGCTGTGGGGGCAGGAAAATCTGGTAGCCATCTTGGTACTAGAGAACGTTGCAGATTTGGTTTATGGCAGCTCATGGGTGTGTTTGAATGAATGGGTTGAATTGGATTTGGACATTGAGAAAAACTTGAGCAAGGAATTAACTTTGCACATGGTAATTTTTTATATAGGCTTGAAAATTTCATCTCTCTGATTGTTTCAAATCTAAGCAACTTACAATATGTACCTGTTGAATACTTGCAAATAAACATTATAGATAAATCATCTAAAGAGAGAAGCTAATTAAATTAAGTATTTTTACCATTGGACAAGTGTTTTTAGCATAAAGTCTTTGCAATAACTAAACACAAGATGGCCTCTTTTTCACTATCTAAAATACTTACATTAATCTAAAAAAAATGAAATGCTTGTATTAAAATAGCTGGGAATCAAAAATCAACCAGCTTACATAACTTCATTATACATCAAAATAGCTGGGAACAAAAAATCGGCCAACTTACACAAAATATACAAAAATAAAGCAAAAAAAAAAATCTTCTTCCATTTGCTTTACTTGAAGAGGATTGAAGGCAAACTATTGGTTTTCTGTAAACGTAGTTGGTGGTCTCCAAGCCGATGGATGTGCTTCCTAAAAATGAATTAAAATATATTAAAAAATAACTATAATTAATTAACATATTTTAAGAAGATGTTGATATGAAAATAATATAACTAGTTGATTTATACCTGATTTAAATTGTTGCTTATGTCAATGATATGAAATGGACTTCTAATGTTCCAAGTACCATAAAAAGCATGTGGGATCATAGAATGACTACTCTGAACAACTTGAGTAGTATTGACCTGTAATATAACAAACATATTCAATAAGAATAATTAAAAAATAATTACAATGTTTATTAATCCTGTAGGCATAGGTAATAACCATTGGATATGTGTAATCAAAGCTTTGGGAAATTGAAATTTGCTCTAGTGCAGTTGAAGCAGCATGTTCCACTCCTTTTTGTTTTTCTACAAAAAAATCAAAATTTAGAAACACATCACTGATATATGGGCATATACAAGAATTTATAAAATTAATATCTTACTTGATTTTCATTGTTTTTCAAAATGGCCTTTTCTTCTACCACTTCCACCCCCTTTTGGCTTTGCTTTTGGGGGATCAAGAATTTGGCCTACTTGAGATGCATCTTGAATGGTGCAATGGATTTCTTTATTCTTTTCCACATTGTTGCTTTTATTCAAATCACGTAGACGTTCTTGAACTTGTTGAGATCCATTGTTGATAACATCCCACATGATATCTTGAGTTTCCTTGTGGTCTTGTGAGGCCAACACAAGGTTATAAAAAGAACGCATAATAGAATTGCGATACACAATTTTTGGATCTTCACTAGTTGCATATTTTTCTTTATGCTCACAATCAGAAAACTTTGCATTTTTTGACCATCGCTTTAAGAAGTATTTATCTGGCACCCTTGTTACACACTTGATGTTATAAACTCTCAATGCATGAGCACAAAGAATACCCATAGATTCAAATTTTTTGCAACTGCAAGTAACATTCTCATTTGAGGAATTAAATTGCACAACCCACCTCTTTGACTCTTTTCCATCCACCCACAGCTCATAATAGAAGATGTCTCCATCTCTTTTAATTTCTTTAAACAAAGTCCCTACTCCATCCAAATATTCCCTCTCAAACAATTTGAAAATTTTTTTAGTATAAATCTTTGATGCATGGCATAAAGTCCTGTTCCTATTGATAGCACATGAAGGAATAGATTGACTATTGTGAAAATCCTCTTCACCCTCAGAGCTTCTCCATTTTTCTACCATCTTTTTAAAAGCTAAGAAGAACTCTGTGAGAGAAGTTTTTTTTGTAGATATTTCTCCCAAAACACTATTAGTGCTCTCACTCCTTTGAGAAGATTTTATATTTGCAGAAAACATGTCTTTACCAAATGCAGTTGACCATTTATGCCGAATTGTATACATTCTATTCAACCACTTATGGTCATTGAGCTCAAATTTCCTAATCATTTCATCCCACGTGATTTCAAATTCTTCTTCTGAGTCACACATTCTCATGCACTTTTGAAAATATGATTGAAAATCACTATCACAATTTAGAGAACCCAAATGAGATGGGGCATTTTTAGATATATGCCATAAGCATAAGCGATGCCTTGTATTAGGAAATATCTTTTCAATCGCTTTAGCCATAGCAGCATCTTGATCAGTGACAATAGTCTGTGGGGGTCGATTTCCCATAGATTTTAAAAATTGATCAAACAACCATTCAAAGGACTCTGCTGATTCATTCATCAGAAAGGCACAACCAAACATTACATTTTGCCAATGATGATTTATTCCAACAAAAGGTCCACAAATTAAATCATACTTATTTGTACGATAAGTTGTGTCAAAAACCACTACATCCCCAAAACAATCATAATCAATTGTTGATCTCCCATCCCTCCAGAAAACATTTGTCAAATGTAATTCTTCATCAAATTGAACACTGTAATAAAACATTGGATCTTCAGCTTGATGACTTTGTAAGAGATTAACTAAACTTTTTCCATCCCCAGCTTTTATTAGTTTCAACTTTTGCTTGTTGACATAATTATAACAATCTTTTTTGGAAAATCCAATATTATCAAATCCATGTGTTTCTTCACCTAAATAACTCCACACATCCTTTGTTCTGATTCCAGTAGTCACCATGGAATTAATGAGGTCACCTTTAGCACTAGGAATATTCCTAGCAGAACGCATAAGGTGCCTATGCTCTTGTTTTACAAGTTCATGATTATGTTCAGTAATCAACTTAGTTATTTTCCATAACCCATCCACTTCAATAGTAAACCGAACCATAGCTTCACAATTTGTCCTTGCATTCATTTTCGTAAATGAAGTGCTGGTACCTTCATCCAAATATTTAGTCCCTTGTTTTGCACACACATATTCTTTTGTACGAATCTTCTTAGTTCCAGTAACATATGTTTGTTTCCATTTTCTAACCGAAAAACCCAACTGATATGCATATTTTGTGTACAAAGCGTATGCCTCATCTTCATTATTTACAATTTGTCCCAAGTAAATATCTGACTCTGGTTGATTAGCTATTTCCATTCTGTGCAATATCAAAGTTAATTAAACACCCTTTATAAAAATAATATATATAATAATAGTAATTGATAAACTAAAAAATATATAACTCAAATTATAAATTAAAATCACACAATATGGCACTTTCCAAATGCTGGTCGACGATTTACAATCCGCAACGCTCAAAATCAACCAATGAATATCTTCATTAACCAACAAATTCATATCTAAGAGTTTACAAATGTTAGTTCCAGTTCCTCACGGCTTCATATAATACCAAAAACACAAGATGCTTTCATTTACATTGAGAATAAACTATTTCATCATTAGCTAATTTGGGACCGACTACAAACAGAGTAACCTTGGGATCAAATATAAAAAGACAGATAGCTCCATTAATGTGTAGAAACTAAATCAAACTGAATCTAAAATGCAGAAACTTTTCAATGTTTAGACAAATAATACAGAGAAGGATTATACCAATGCCAAGCGCCAATGATAGATCAAATACAAAGGGTGAAACAGGGGAGAAAAAAACTCATCACAAATAACACATTTCTTCTATGAACTAAGAAAATCTACAATCTTTATCAAGTACGAATCAAACCTTCTTTGCCCAATACAAAGTCCAGAGAAGACAGAGCAAAATAGGGAGCAATGGAAGGCTCTCTGCTACTGACGTGACTCTCCGCTGATGGTATTATCTTCTGCTAGCGGCATGACTCTCTACTCACAAAGAAGACACAGCAAGGTCCAAAGCTAGGGTGAGCGTTTTCGATTTCTTCCACCTGGGTTAGGGCACGATTGTTCAAGCCTTTCAATCTCTCTCTCTCCAGTCGAAGTATGGCGCGGGAAAATGAAAACGTTCTGTGCGTCTTGTTTTTTCATTTTCCATTTCAGGTTTATTTTGTTTTTCATAAATTGGTGATCTGCCAAGTCAGGGTGCCAGCCAGGATAAAGAGAAGCTGACTTGCTGTGTTTTGATTGGACAGAGTTGGGATGATGTGGCACTCCCAGTGTATCTAAGAATTTCTCTTTTTTTCCTCGCTGTTTGATATCATCCTTTTTCCTTACAAAGAACTCACATTAAGCATCAGTAATTTATTTAGCTATTCTAGAATTATATCGAACAAGATTGTTTTTTTCTTTTGGCCAACATAATGAAGAAGATTAAAGACAATTTTTGGGGAAGTTCCTTCTCTTGATTACCTATAAATTTCTCATCTTCTTGGCCCTCATGGAACTTCAAATCGAATTGTTGGATCACCATAAAAGCCCATGTATCATGCCGGGTCCCCATTTAGTGCTCACTAGGTGATGAGCACCCAATGCTCATCACCTAATGAGTAATTTTAGATTTGGACGGTTAAGATTTAATATTATTAAATAATTATTTTAAATAAAAAAAAATCATATTTTTAAATAATAATAATTAAGAGATTATCTTTATTTTTTATCCTACACCTATTAAAATAAAAATAAATCTAGACTGTCCAAATTAATATTAAAAAACAATTCAGATCTAACAAGTATTGATTCCAATGACCCGTCGTTGTATGCTTAAGGCCCTACCTTTCTCTTGACCTATTTATTCACCTGTAAGAGCTTGAGTTGATATATACACTTGTACTTTCTCTCATCCATCCCATGTGGGATTTTATTTGATACGCACTCTTCACTTATTGTTTTTCTTTCATTTTAGCTGCATGGTGTATTTAATCTAAACCCATGGTTCAGACAAGAAATCTTTAAATTAGTTCCTTTTTATCGCACAACAATAGCTAAATTTCTTGAAAGCTGAAATAATTAAACTTTGGATGGACAAACTTCAGCTTAAAACCTACTTATGCTCTAGATTTTCAGCCGAAGTCGCGGGAATAATTAAACTTGGAATCCATAGGCTTGCACCTTGCAGCAATGTGGAATGGAGAACAAGCACGAAGATATTGAGAGTATTGAACACTCTGTTACACCTTTGGGGAAGGAAACAAAAGAACACTGTGTTCATACACCTTTCCCGCTTTATTATAATCGTGCGCGTCAGTGCAACTACAATGCTTCTGATATTTCCCAATGGTGCTTGGAGAAAGTTATGGAGGTTTTAGGTGATCCTAATACTCACTTAATTGGGTTTTATGGCTCACATGATCAATTCAAAGACACTCTACTTGAAAAAGTCTGTAGAAGAGTCCATCGAGACAAACTGTTTGATATGTTCTGACTGCAATTGTAACCAAAACCCTGATGTGAAAAAAATTCAAGAAGAGATTAGACGCCAACTAGGGCTCTCTTTTAATCAGAAGTGGGGAAAAAAAAAACAAAAAGGCAGACTTGGTGAACAAATGGACATGAGATAGCTGTGTGTGTGCATATATTATAAAAATATAATTCATAAAATAATTATATATTCCATTGTCTCACCTCTCATAATTATTTTTTTTATTTTTTGCATAATGAAAGATTTGGTTGTTTTTTAAAATTATAGTTTTACCCATCATCTTTACTTGCATGGTTTTTAATTAATTTTATTACTATTTTATAATCAATTTTTTACTCCCTTCGTCCTTTTTTTTATAAGCAATATTGGACCTCATCATGTAGATCAAAATGTTAGTTAAAATTAATTAAATATACTAAATGTGTAGAAATTAGAAGTTTTCCCCCCTCTAAAATGCTCTTATTTATGGGGGAAGAGAGTATAAGAAAGAGAATAAGAAAATTATTATAATAAAAAATTTATAAAAGAGAGAGAATATGTGAAGGAGAGATAATAGTTTGGGAAATGAAATAATAAATATATCGAGTATTAAAATAAGTAATTAATATGAGCGAAATAGAAAATTCGCTACAAAAATTAAAGACAACCTGTAAATATTGCTTATATTTAGGGACAAAAGGAAGATGATAATGGTTGCTTATAAAAAGAGATGGAGGGAGTGTTATTTTTATTTTTCATTTTCTATGTCTATGATTGTGAATCTGTGAGTTAGTCATTTGATTGCACCTGTCTGGTTTTTAGTATTGCAATAATAAAATTTAATTCAATTATTTTAATTATAAAATTAAAAATAATTCAATGGTATCAAGTATATATGTATATTTTTGTTTGTGGAACGTTAAACTGAAAGGTTTGAAGGAGGGGAAAAAGGGAAAATACTAAAAAAAAATCTGTTCAATTTTAAAATGATAATTAAGTAATTTTGACAAATTTTGACAGAACAAAATTGTTACAAATTATTACAAGAATAGTCAATATAATCTATTTATTTTTTTTAAATTCAGATTTTTTTGCTTTTTAAAAAAAATTAAAATGAAAAGTCTCACACTACACAAGCCTAATCCCCTGTTCCCCAGGGCCCCGACGTAAACTTTTTTCCGCTTGCAAAGAGCTCACATTAAAACTTACTAACCTACATCATTATTCTAGAATTTTAATCAAGCTGCCTGACAAGTTCTGGTGAAGGCCCTTATCTTAATTATCTACAAATTTCTAATGGAAACTTGCGATTGGCTTCCAATTTAGCGTTTGTTTGGTTCAGCGGTCATAGGTCCAGAAACTCTCTATTTCAGCTTAAAAGTATGTTTGAAAATTTTCAACTTGTTAATGTTCATTGGGTTATTCGTATGGAAAAATTGCGCAGCAAGTCTTCCAAGGCAGAGAGAATTTCTTTCTCTGTATTTTTTTATAATCAACATTTTATTACGTGCACTGGTTCATCTTGGAGAGGACACTGCAAGTGGCATCCTTGTTTGACTCTTTTGCGCAGGGTGTTACTTTTAATTTGTCACCAAAGTCAAGTTCTTAGTTCTTTGTCTTTTCCACTTTACCTTTGGGTTAAGGAAAATGGTTTTTGGAGGGTTCTTAATGGTGCTGTCACTGTAGATATTGGTTTTAGAGGTGTTCTTCAGGATTGTCTTACTCTTTGTAGTATGTTTGCTGATTTTCATCTTATGTGAACATTTGTATTTTTTCTCATCAAAAAATTTTCAACTTGTTTCGCTGATCTGTTATCATGTATGGGCCAAAAGTGAGTTTCAACGCACGATTTGAGTAAGCTAAGCTGGGCAATGTTTTGGGCTTATGCACTGTGCTTATAATGGGAAAAATAACCCTAAAATAATAACTAGAATGTCAGATATTCTTCTCTCATTTTTGTGCCTTTATTCTCTAATTCCAAAGGCTGTTTCGCTTTCTCCGCCACACTCATTCACTCTTATATTTTTATATTTACAAAAACCTTTTTATAATATTTCTAAAATTTCACTTTTTTCTATTAAAATAATTTAAGTTCATTACATTATGTAAATTTTTTTTTATCATTTTCATTATTTAATAAAAATCATAATTTTATAAACTAAACTTAATTTAAATTTATTCTATTATGTAAAATTATTTTTTTATTATTTAATAAAACTCATATCCATTTTAATAATTTTACAAACTAAACTTATTTTTATTTAATCGTAATCTGAATATCTTTTTATCCCGGATCCGAATCTTCTCATAATCCAAACAATTTTTTAACTGGATTCAGATCCTCTCAGCAACCATTTTCTTAGGTGCCTGATAATGATGATAACAACATTTGTAATGTGCATAACAACATTTGTAATCAAATTAACCACTCCAGTCATGCCCATTGACAACTTCCACCATCTCCCTTGGAGGAATTAAGCAAATGGTAAAATGTGTTGACAAAATAGCATACAAGTACACCTGAAGAACATCATAATATATTTATATTAACATTCAGACTTTACTACATGTATAATGGAATTGACTACTGAAGTGATGATATTTACCAAAAACCAGTACGCCTATGACAGAAGTTACATAACTTGTATTCAAATGACAAGTTAACATTAAGATTAAACCACCAGCTAATGTTTCCTTGTCATTCAGATTACAAACATATTCTACCCAGTTAACATCATTTACAAAAAGGATAACCTCTCTATCAGCTATTCTCCCAAAAAAATTAAGGGTTCAAAAGTTATTCTATTTACACTAAAAAAATTACTCA